TCTGAATCTACTACCTACATAAGGTAAAAGTAGCTACAATGGGAGAAACAGGACTAAAGAATAACAAAACTCATGAAACTAATCAAGAGAATATGGCAAAGGTATAGGATAGGCAAGTAGGTCAAAAGAACGGAATACAGTCCAGAAATAGAATCACACTGAATCAGTCAATTGATTTCCAACAAGATGCCAAAGCAATTCAATGGAAAAAGGGATGTTTTCAACAAGTGGAGCTGTAACAACTAGACAGCCATATTTAAAAAAATAATGTACTTTAACTCTAGTTCACACCATACACAAAAATTAATTCAAGATGGATCATAGACTTAAAGACTAACACCATAAAACTTCTAGAAGAAAACAGGGAAATACCTTGGGGGTGAGCAAGAATTTCTTAGACCAGGCACAAAAAGCACTATCTATAAGAGAAGAAAAATTGATAAGGTAAACTTCATCAAAATTAAAATCTTCTAATCAAAAAATAGCATTAAGAAAAATGAATAGGCAATCTATAGGCTGGAAAAAAATATTCTCAAAACATTTATCTGATGAAGAACTTGTATGCAAAATATACAAAGAATACCTATAACAATAATTAAGAGACAGAAGTATACAATTAAAACTAGAAAAATGTGCAAGAGATTTAGATAGACAATTCACAAAAGAAGTTATATAAATGCCCAGGGTCATATACAAAGGTACCTGATGTCATTAGTATTCAGAGATATGCAAATCAAAACCATGATGAGATACTTCTTCCCAAACATTAGAACAGCAAGAATTAAAAAGACAGAGAAAATAAAATATTGATCATGGTGTGAAGCAAGTGAGATTTAAAAAATTTTTTTAATGTTTATTTATTTTTGAGAGAGAGAGGCAGACAGAGAGCAGCAGTAGAGAGAGGGAGACACAGAATCTGAAGCAGGCTCCAGGCACTGTGCTGTTAGCACAGAGCTCGACACGGGGCTTGAACTCATGAACCATGAGATCATGACCTGAGCCAAAGTTGGATGCTTAACCGACTGAGCCACCCAGGTGCCCCAGCAAGTGAGATTTTTATAAATTGACTGTGAGAGTATAAAATGTAACACACGCACTAGGAAAACTCTTGTAGTTTCTTATACTCATAGATCCAGGCTATAATCCAATAATTCCATGCTGAGGTATCATTCAACAGAAATGAGGACATATAGACACAAAAAGAATTGTTTAAGAATTTTTTTGCAGCTTTATTTATAACTGCTGAAACTTGGGGAAAATTAAATGTCCATCAGCAGAAGAATGGAAAACAAATTGTGGTAACATTCACATAAAAATACTAACTAGGTCAATATAAAAAAAATAAAAAGAAACAACTGACACACAGAAAAAAATCTCATGGTTCACAGGTTCAGGTTCTAGCCCCATGTCAGTCTCTATGCTGTCTGCACGCAGCCCACCTCAGATCCTCTGTCCCCCTCTCTGCCCCTCCCCTGCTTGGGCATACTCTGTCTCTCTCTCTCTCTCTCTCTCTCTCTCTCTCAAAAATAAATAAACATTTAAAAAAAGAAAGCAAAATACAAAAGACTATATCCTGTAAAATTTTATCTATGTGAAATTCAAAGAAAAGGAAAGCTAATCTGTGACAATAGAAATGAGAAAAGTGGTTATTTGCAGTCGGATGGGGTACCAATTGACTGAAAAAGAACCTAAGAAAACTTTCTGGAGTGATGGAAATGTTCAGGATATCTACATGAGAGTACTCGTTTATCAAAACTCAATGAACTATACATGTGAAATCTATATACAAATTATATATAATTCTCTGTGTACAAATTATACTTCAATAACGAATAATTTTTTAGGTTTTTAGTGTTTATATTTTTGAGAGAGAGACAGGGACAGAGCACAAGCAGGGGAGGGGCAGAGAGAGAGATAGACACAGAACTCGGAGCAGGCTCCAGACTCTGAGCTGTCAGCACAGAGACTGATGTGGGACTCACTCACAGACCATGAGATCATGACCTGAGCCGAAGTCAGATGCTAAACCTACCGAGCCACCCAGGCACCCCTCAATAACAAATTAATTTTTAAAAAACTATGAATCTTGGGGCACCTGCGTGGCTTAGTCAGTTAAGTATCCAACTCTTGGTTTCAGCTCAAGCCATGATTTCATGGTTTGTCGGATTGAGCCCTACGTTGGGCTCTGTGTTGGCAGTGTGGAGCCAGCTTGGAATTCTCTCTCTCCCTGTCTCTCTGTCCCTCTCCCCTACTCGCACATGCATTCTCCCTCCCTCTCTCTCTTTCTCAAAAAAAAATAATAAACACTTTTTAAATTTATGAATTCTACAAAAGGCGGCAATGAGCTAAACGTAAAATAATTGCATATTCACCTCTATCAGTTCCTTCTTAATATTGGTTTGAAAGTATTGAAGGAAAATGTAGGTAAATATGTTACAGAGGAAACTGTGAACTCCTTGTTTATTTCTGTGCTTCTCCCTCCTCCATAGAAACAGTAGGTATTGCTTGTTTTTCCCAGAAAAGGGATATTCTTAAGTGCAATTGTCTGCCAAGGATTAAGCAGGACATCATCCCTTTCACTGAAGCAGTCAAATAGCAACACCTAATCCCGCCAAGATTCTCTGGCAAATGTGGCCGGCAACATGGAGACATAATTCTTCATTTGTAGGATTAATGTTAACTTCTCCGGCACATACCGCTACACTCATTCATGGATGCTTCTATAAGTCCAGGGAAGGCATCCTGACACTCCAGTTTAGTTACGTAATTTAGGTTAATTTAACTAAGCCCTTCAGTGTAGGTGATATTTTGGAGACTTTAAAACACTGAATTCCCAGAAGCAAACCTGAAAATATTTCAACTTTAGAAAATAAGCACTATGCACCACTTGCTAATATCTCCGTAATTGCTCTTGCTTCTTTCACATCATATAAGCTTACTGACAGCAATAACCAGAATGTACTAATCCCATCATTTCTACCATGGAGCCTCTGTTACAAATATTAGAGCCTTCCATGTGCTGAGAGAAATCACTTGGCAAATCTCGTAGAGCCTACATTTTTTTTCCTGCCAAACCTGTTTAAAAGTCTTCTTTTTCTCAGTTTTGATTTAGTAACTTTAGATCTCTGCATTATGTTGTGTTTTGCACGGAGCTATTGACTTCAGCTAAGGAACCGTGAACAATAATTATTTTGCATGACTAAGCTCTGGTACACCATTGTCAGACAGGCACTTTACGGTACCAGTAGTTTCAAAATTTAGAACAGAACTGTCAAACAAGCAAATGCCTACACCAAAGACTTCTATTTTCAAGTTACAGGCATGAGTTCTATGATGTGCAGTAATAGAGTGAATCTTTGTGCTCTTGTGAACGCTCCTGATTTGACAGTCCTAGAAACGAAAGCTGGTTTCTTTCTAGAACAGATATATCAGTGGTAGCAACAATACAAAGTTTCAAGCAAGTCTCAGGTATGGCATGAGTGCTGGAAACGGGACACTCGGGCACTGAGATTATTAAATGCTAAGAAGTACTGTATTTATGATGAGCATAGAACAACATACCTCAAACTGAGAACATCTGATTTGGCTCATCTTAGTTGGACATCTTTCCAACCATTTCAGAAAACATTCATAGGGTTACCAGTTTATACGAACTAAAATTTTTATCCTAGAAATAATATAAATCTAATAGAAATGTTTCTCAACATTTTAAAAAGCCCAAGAATGGAGCACATTACAGCAAATATTCATAGACAGGGACATAGATTTTGTATAAATTAAATGTATTTTACTCTTTCAGCACAGCCAGGTATGACCCATCAGGAACACAGGCCAAACAATTTCTGTTTAAAAGTTGACATTCTACCCTTTACACTTTTACAACACTTCAATTTTTTTCCAAAGGTCTTTTCTTCCACTGATAATTCGATTCTTAAAACAGCACTTTAGGACAAGTATTACCTTCTTGGCATAGATTTAAAAACTTAAGAACAGAGGTTAAATGACCTTGAAATGTGCTATGATCATTGAAAAAATAAAGGGAAGGATGGGGAACATGGATAAGATGCCTCTCAGATGCCTCTGTCTTTAAATATTTCCTTTTTATTGACCCAGGCCAGTGTTCAGGCTCTCTGAAATAAATTCATACTAATCTATTTTTGTTGATTTGTAAATCAGAATTCTTATATTAAATAAAAAGAGGAAGTTCTGCCTTCCCTTTGGCCAGACTAGTCCTACCTACATTACAATGTACTCCTTTTCTAAGTGGGAAACCAATGGAGAAATAACAAATTGTCCAGAACAAAGAAAATACTTCACCAGGTTGTAGTAGAACTTGGAAAATGATCTCAGGTGCCCTTCAGGGGATACCTTCCACGTGACCACAGAAATATTACCACAATTTTTTAACTGGATTCTCCAGTTTATCTTATGTCCCCACCAGTGTAGCCTACCCAGCTCTGCTTATTTGGACTTTCTGGAACACAGCTCTGATGAAGTCACTCTCCTATACAAGAAATTCAAGATAGGATTCAAGAAACAATGATTTCAACCGGCCTACCTTTCCAATCTCATCTGTAGGATGCATTATATTACAGTAAAAGTAAAATGTTGGGAAATGGACTGGACTTTCTTACCTCATTTGGTCAACTTCTGGGACATCTAAATCTTGACGGAAATAAGTTGGACCTGCACCCAGCTATAATAGTAACCAAAGTAGCTTCTCTTTGAAAAAAGCATAAAGGACTCATTGGAAATTGCTAACGAGACATTTTGAAAATAGACAATAAATCTTAGTTATACATATGCGAAACTATAAAATTTGTCTTATGGAAAATTTTTAGTTTACTAAAACTCATGCCTTTCCTGACACCCTCAAAAGGAGGTGGCAACTAAAAAAGAGAGATTTTAAATAACTCTATAGAAGATAGAAGAGAGATAAAAAGAAAAAAGGGTTGCTAGAGCAGAAACTTTACAAACCAGAGCCAGTAGGTCAGCAGGAGCTATTGGAGAAAGGATTGAGAAGGGGATAGGTGGCTGGGGAAGAGAGGAGCTTCAGAAGAAGAACAGATGGGATCAATGAGGATTTTCATCAGGATTTCAGGCACAATGTGTAATGTAACCTTCCTTCTCTTTCATTCCCCATATAGTCCTTAGTAAAGTATCCAACTCTCTCCAAAGTCTTAGGGAGTTGATTTTCTTTGTGGAACTCCTAAGAGGTGCTGAGTTGGCCTCCAACAAACAGATTGAGAATGTAGAGGGCCCTTGAACACAGCCATATCTTGGTTAAACCACTAACGTACAATGAATATACAGCGACTCCGATGACAGTTCCAAGTCCTCCTTGGGAAGAAAATGGCAATCATTGGATTCAATCACTCAATAACTGGCAATAAGTTGACCCAGAATGATTTTTCCCCCTATATATTCTACTCTATTTTTGTCCAGCAAAACCCATGCTGCATCTTGCTTTAGAAATTTTACTGTGATATATCTTGATCTTTACTTGGGCACTTGCCCCTAGTGCAGTCCATATATACAGAAATCTATTTATAGCTTCTATGGAAAAGTTTTTCTTTTCAATATGATCTTTAAGTGCTGACTGGCTGCAAACAATGATATTCTCTACGTCTGCCATCTCTTTGTAATATCAGTGACCATCTAAGCTCTTACTCACAATGAACAAGCAAGTTAGAGACGGGGTTTAAACCCTCTAGTAGGATACAGTTGCTTCCTGCTTCACATGAGATCTGAAAATAGATTGCTCTACATTGACAGTGACAAGACCCTTTCTGTCAACACTGTGAAGCTTCTATCCTTCCTAATCTCTGTCAGCGATGGCTTAGGAATGCCAAAATACTTTAATAGCTTATGGGGCCAGTGTACAAATGATTGATATCTTAACTGTAAATGAAATTCCCGGACAGGCAGAGAAATCAGAAGACTGGGGGAAAAGAGTCTAAATGCATTGCTTACTTTGGGGTTGGTTAATCGACATATGTTCTACCAGTTTCCATTGCTGTACCTCTCCTCTGTTGTCTTATCTGAGAATATCTTCTTTTTTCACTTCAGTCTATCTAAAATTCACATAGCTTGACCTAACTTCTATTTTCCCTTAATTTTGAGGCTTTTGCCAAATTAAAAGTGATTTCATTCTCTACTGAACTTTTGTTTTACCTTTTTTATGGTATGTTTACATTATCTTATGATTTGATTGCTTTCATAACATTATAACACTCCCACTAGACTACCCATACTCACCTTTAAATACACAGTGAATATATAGGGCTCTAAGCTCATTGAGAAACAATGTGCATGTGTGTACCTGCATGTGGACACACACATGCGCACATACACACACACACACACAAACTAGAAGGAAATAAAGAAAATGGTGATAATTGTACTTTCTGGCCTATAGGCATCTGTATGATCTCCATTTTCTTCCTTTTACTTATCTCTATTTTTGAAAAATGTCCATCATAATATCCATTACTTTTTTTAATGTAAAATACAATAATAAACATTTTTGATCAGAAATTCAAATATCTGAGTACTCCCTTTTCCAAACTTTTTTTTTCCCCCCAAAATACTCTCAAATGATATCAATAAAATACAAGCCACTGACCATGTAGGGTTATTTGCAGGAAGGATAAATAATCTTAGTTCTCATGTTCAATAATGAAAACAAACTCAAGTAGCACCAGTTCAAGTGGTTTTCAAACTACTTTTTTAAATGTTTATTTATTTATTTTTGAGACAGAGAGAGAGAGAGAGAGAGGGAGAATGCGCAAGGAGTAGGGGAAGACAGAGGAAGAGAGAGAGAATTCCAAGCAGGATCTACACTGTCAGTGTGGAGACTGACACAGGGCTCAAACTCATGAATGGTCAGATCATGACCTGAGCCAAAATCAAGAGCTGGATGCTTAACCAACTAAGCCACCCAAGCACCCCTCAAACTATTTTTTAAGTATAATTCTGTTTTCACACAAAATCTTACACAGACTCTTAATATATAAATAATTTACACCAAGGTACAGGTTTCTCAGGTGGTCCTAAATCTCTAGTGGTTGGAGCAAATATGCATTTCCTTGGCTAGGAAATCCCTAAATCACTTTCATGGAATCTTGGGGTTCCTCTAGTCCAATCCCCTTATTTTTACCATAGAGGAAAATGAGATGCAGAGAGGTTGTAATATCTGTCAAGATAACTCAGCTGGTAACTAGAGCTTACACTTTCTAAGTCTAAGGTTCTGGCTATTATGCCATAATGTCCTAATTCCTAATTGCAATTATTTTAGAGCATTACATTTCTCTGACTCAATTCTAGATTGTGACATACACGTGATTTGAATTCCTGGCTCCTTACCCTTTGCTAGTCTTCAATGTCTAGAGTCCTGCTTTCATTTGAGACCTCAGAGATGGTTTCCCTGCCAAAAATCTGATACTCAATAGCTTTTATCTGATTTCCCAGGGCTTGTCTTAATGCCTGGCCTGTTATCTGACCATATGCTCATTGCTATATTGTTCCTCTTTTGACAGACAGGATTTGTTTGAACCTGAAGGTTCATCTTTTCTGTCTATTACACATTTGGGCTGACCTTGCATTTTGAAAGCACTTTAGCTTCCATGTGCCTTTCTCTAAATTTACCACTGCCAAGCTGAGCAACACATTTAGATTTTTCCACGATTATGCTTTCTCTTTTTTGCCAAGCCCATAGAGAAAATCCTTGAGAACATTCTGTCTTGGTCTTCTAAGAAGGATTGAAGTGATATAGAACTTCTTTTTTTTTTTTTTCATGCACACAAGTCTACAAAGTAATGGTATAAGACAACAAATGACTAAGCTTTTCTCTAAAATCAGAACAACACAAGGGTGCCCACTCACACCCCTCTCAACATAGTTCTAGAAGTCCTAAAGCAATCAGGCAAGAAAAAGTAACAAAAGTTAACAGAATTGGAAAGGAAAAAGTAAAATTGTTTCTATTTTCAGATTATATGATTTTTATAGACAAAATCCTGAAGACTCAACCAAAAAACTGTGAGGTCTAATTCATGAATTCAATAAAGTTTCAGTATACAAAATTCATATATTAACATATAAAAATCAGTAGTATTTCTCTACACTAACAACAAATTTTCTGAGAAAAAAATTAAAAAGTCAATACTATTTATACCAGCATCAAAAAGAATAAAATACTTAGGAATAAATTTAACTAAGAAGGTGAAAAATCTCTATGCTGAAAACTAAGACATGGATGAAAGTAATTGAAGAAGACACAAATAAATGAAAAGGTAGCCTGTGTTCATGGATTGGAAAATTAATGTTAAAATGTCAATACTACCAAAAGGCATCTATAGATTCAATGCAATCCCTATCAAGATTCCAATGACATTTTTTTTACAGAAGTAGAAAAATTACTCCTAAAGTTTATAAAGAACCACAGAAGACTCCAAATAGCCAAAGAAATCCTGAGAAAGAAGAACAAAACAGGAGAATTCACACTTCCTGATTTCAAGCTATACTATAAAGCTACAGTCATCAAAACAGTGTGGTACTGGCATAAAAACAGACAAATAGACCAATGAAATAGAACCAAGGGCCTAGAAATGAACCTAAGCATATAGAGTCGCTAATATTTGACAAGGAAGCCAAAAATAGTCTAAATATATGATGTTGGGATATTTGCATACTCCCACATACAAGAATGAAACTGGACCCGTATCTTACACTACTCACAAAAATCAACTCGAAATGGATTAAAGACTTAAATGCAAGACCTGAAACTGTGAAATTCCTAGCGGAAGGTATAGTAATAAACTCTTCACCATGGGTCCTGGTAATGATGTTTTGGGTATCACACTGAAAGCATAAGTCACAGAATAAAAATAAACAAGTGGGATTATGTCAAACTAAAAGGATTTGTGCAGCAAAAGAAACCATCAATAAAGTGAAAAGACAACATACAGAATGAGAAAAAATATTTGCAAACCATGTATCTGATAAGAAATTAAATAAAAATATATATAAACAACTCCTTAGACTCCATAAGGAAGTAAGAAAAATAATCTAATTTAGAAATAGGCAAAGGGACTGAATAGACATTTCACAAAAGAAGATATATGAAAGGCCAGCAGGTGCATGAAAAGATGCTCCACATCATTTGTCATGAGGGAAATGCAAACTAAAATCACTATGAGGTATATCACCTCACACCTGTTAGAAGGGCTGTCGTCAAAAAGACAACAGATAACAAACGTTGGTGAGGATACAGAGCAAAGGGAACCCCTGTGCACTTTTGATGGAAATGTAAATTGGTGCACCCACTATGGAAAACAGGATTGAGGATCCTCAAAAAAGTATGGGGCGACTGGGTGGCTCAGTCCTTTGAATGTCTGACTTTGGCTCAGGTCATGATCTTGCGGTTTGTGGGTTTGAGCCCCGCATCAGGCTCTGTACTGAAAGCTCAGAACCTGGAGCCTGCTTCAGATTCTGTGTCTCCCTCTCTCTCTGCCCCTCCCCTACATGTGTTCTGTCTCTCTTGTTCTCAAAAATAAAAATATTTAAATTTTTATTATTATTTTTTAATGTTTATTGTATTTTTGAGAGAGAGAGAGAGAGAGAGAGAGCAAGCAGGGGAGGTGCAGAGAGAAAGGGTGACTCAAATCCGAAGCAGGCTCCAGGCTCTGAGCTGTCAGCACAGAGCCTGACACGGGGCTTGAACTCACAGACGGCAAGATCACCCAGGTGCCCAAAGGCTGTATGCTTTAAACTGGTACAGTGATGTATGTCAGTTATTTCTCAATAAATTTTTTTTAAATTGTTTACAAATACATAGAGATTGACCTGATTGAAAAAAAAAAAAGTAAAATGTTGGCAGAAGGATTCATGCAAGATTATTTTTCACTGGAGTTTACGATGAATAATTTTGTAGAGTATATTAAGATAATTATAGTCATAAATCCTTGCATGTATCTGCCTTTGATTTAATTCATGTATGGCCACATCCTTCTCTTTGTTTATTATTCATTAAGTGAGCCTTAGGTGAAACCATAAGGTAGGCAAGAGTTCATCTGGCAGAAAATGTCATCCAGTCTTTTCTCTGCACCTAGAAATATACGAAAATGTCTGCAGTGCTGTTCCAGATCTAAGAGTCAGCTGTCCTGATTCTTTTATGGAATAGCATGGCAGTTGCCTACACTCTAAGGTTAATGTCAAAAAGTTTGGGCTCATCCCCCTGCCCAAGTTCTCTCTCTCTATTTGTTAGAGGTTTTTTTTTATTATTATTTATTTATTTGTTTGTTTGTTTTTTACCTTCCAAGTATCGGAATACCCAACCCAAATTCAATTAAAAGAGATTTATTAACTCACGCAATTGGTTAGTCCACAAGTATATTCAGTTTCTTTAAGGACTTAGATGAAGTTTTATAAAATGAATTTGGAATCTCTCTCCATGACTCAGCTTTGCTTGCTTGATGTTGGCTGCGTTCCAGGCACCCTCTCCCCTCATGTTTGCAAGGTAGTCCTGTCCCCAGAAATAGATCAAGTCGTAGAGGTAAGCTTTCCTGACTCTATTTGGTATTAATTAGGTCACTTATGCATCTCTGAAAAGGGGTAGATAAAATAACTTACATTGAAATACTTACACTGTTGTGGTGGTTAGTTGGTCATGTGTGTGGTGGTTAAATGGTCCATGTGTCAACATGGAAGGTGTTTTGAGATGAGATTAATATTTAAATTTGTGAATGTTGAATAAGCAGATTGTCCTATATAATGTGAATGGGCCTCATCCAATCAGTTGGTGACCTAAATGGAACAAAAAGACCAGCCTCTGAGAACAAGAGGGAATCCTCCAGCACACTGCCAGTGGTGTTCGTCTACACCATCAGCTCTCCTTAGTGTCCAAGCTGCCAGTCCATACTGAAGATTTTGGACTTTCTAGCTTCTATCATCACACAAGCCAATTCCTTATAATAAATCTATTTACCTCTTTGCCTATCTAATTTAACTATCTATCCATCTATTCATCTATTTATCCTACTAGTTCTGTTTCTCTGGGGAACCCCAGGGACCCCTGACTAATACAACTGGTGAGTGACTCTACCTCCAGAGGTGGGGATAAGAGAGAGCTTCATCCAAATGTTGATTGAGAGACTGGGAATGGT